TGGAGCTGTCATTCAAAAAACCTGTAGCAGATGCCGGAATCACAACAATATATAATATATCATAATTTGAAGCCCATTGATATTTTCGGTTTCCAGCAAAACCCTTCCCACTGAGAGTAATGGGTTTACTTAATGGCTGTGCAAAACAAGTTATAAAATCGGGCCTGGTCATATGGTGACCAGCTTTATGATGGTCACAATTTACAATTGTAACTGTGGGCTCAGTTACAGGTATAACTTGAGAATTACCTGTACTCATCTCATTCCCATCCATTCATGCATGTATATCATCTGATCATCACACTGAGTTTTACAATTTTTCATTTTACTTCTATACTTCATTTATCCAACATTTTATAGGTATTATATTTTCCTCTCTCTGTTAATTCCGCAAGCATCCTGCCTCCTCTCCTCATATAATTGAAAGGGATCTTAGAAGTCATCTAGTCAAGCTCTCTGTTCAATTCAGGATTTGCTAGAACATTTCTGACTGAGAGACCATCCTACCTCTGTTTGAAGATTTCTAATGGGAGAGAATTTAACACATCATATGTCAGCCTATTTCATGCAGTTTCATGCAACCAGGAAGTTCCTATCCTGTACCTCCTTACTTGTTGTTTTAACCCATGAGCTTGGGAGCTGTGTTCTTGATCAATAGATAATAAATCTGCTTTGTCTTTTGGATGACAACACTTTATAGCTATTTGAAAATTTGTAATACCTTCCATTAATCTTTTTTTTTTTTTTGGTAGTTGAAACCATATTCAACTTTACTCAACAATACTCAACTTTACACAACAATACTGAGCTAACCCCATGAAGGACAGTCATTCATGGGGATAGTTTGTTTCTGCACCTTCACCATTTTGTAGTTCTCTGAAATTGCTCCAATTTGTACTGCCCTTTTTGAACTGTGATGCTCAGAATTTAATGATATTCCAAACATGGCCTGATCACAGTCAAATAGAATATAAAAATCATTTCCTGTTAAGTAGCTTCTAACTTCTTTTAATATACTCATTAATGGTAGCTGTTGGAAACATCAGCTTATTTTGAGATTTAGCCCTCCCTCCCTCCCTCCCTCCCTGCTCATTAATTCATGTGTTTTATCATACATTCATCTTACATTCCAGGTTACAATCTTATAACACCGTAATCAAAATATGGTTCTAAATTTGTCAAATTAATGCTTTTAGTAATTTTTTTTAAAAAAGAGTAGACTATGTTATCAGCTTTAATCATACGTACACCACATACCAGTATTTCCAGGTAGTGATAAAGATAATACTTGTCAGTTCTTGCACTTTTTAGTCAGATTCTATAAGCATAATCAAAGCCCAGTTTTATAGCAAGCATGCTTTTCTTTTCTTTTCCTGCAAGCTAGGAACCCTGATTTAAAGCACCCAGCAAACCATCACATCCAACCAACTAGGAGCTACATGCAGTGTTTTGCTACACTCAATATATTTTTATATAGTAGTTATCTAAATATACCATACTATAATACAGAAATAGACATTTTAATTTTATTTTTTATATGCTGCCATCAAAGCCAAATTTCCCAACTGGCTTATATTTTTCTTTCTTGTATAGCTTTTTGTAGATTGAACTGCAGTACAAAATTTAGGAAATGTTAATATTGAACTATACTTCTGTTTGCTTACTAGATAGGGAAATGCAATTATGTGTACATGAAAATCAAAGCTGTACTCTCTTCTATCACTCCAGTTGATGTTCAGTGGTCACCAGATGCTTATACTGATTTAACTGGGTTGTGATTCACTAATCTCCTCCATTCACTAAAGGGAGATGAGACTTCTTTTTAATGTCCAAAAGCAATTATCTGATTTAATCTCTTTCACTGTACAACTGTGAGATGAATTAGTGCACAAATAAAACATCAGAGACAAGATCAGTACTTCAGTTAAAATAACTATAATACTACATATCATGAACCTGATAAAATATTTTGTATAGCATTTACCTACCAAGGTTTTATATATGCTTCATAGAGTTGAGAGATAGAGAAGAGAGACAGTGGCTGCAATGAGAAAAATGTATCACTGTTTTTGTCTTTATTAAATAAGATACTAACCTTTCAAAAGTTTAGTATTTATTCCAATCTCACCTTCCAAAACTGATTGAGAAGGAAATTGTGGAAAAAAGAACTAAAAGAAAGAAACTAGAAACAGTTTAAGACCAGTCAACTGAAGGATTGCCTTCTTTCATATCAATCTCATAGTCCTTAAAGGTAATTTCATGAATCTTGTTCCAAGTACGTTATGGGTATCAGGGATAAGACAGGCCATCTTTGTATAGAGATTGTATTTCTGTAATGTGTTCTCCAATTCAGCATGATATGTGATACATTTGATACAAGTATTTTAGAAGTTATGGGAAGTTTTAATATAATTTTATCTTTGATTCTAAACACTTGTCTTGACTTGTTAGGGGACCTCTAGAGAATTTATGTCAGAAAGACAGTATGTAAGTAGCTTAACACTGTTAAAGAAGTAGGAAACTAGTAATCTGTTATGCAAGGAGATTTAGCATTCTTGTCTGTCCAGAATATATTAGGAAATTTTTATTTGTGACAGAACTAGATGTGAGGAGAGGTGCCAACAAACTCATATTACAGTTAGTGAGTATCTTCTCCTACTGGATTTCCCAGTTGTCTTCTCTAGATTTAGCATATATTGATGTAATTCATGTTGAACATAGTTATTGAAGGATGCAACCAAAAATTGTCATAAGTAAAAAAGGGAGGATGAGGTTGTAAGAGTTTAATAAAAATAATCCAAAGAAACGGTTTTTGACATTACTGACTGTTCATATGAACAATATAATCTTGAATGACCATAAGTAACATTAAATTATTGGGATTTATATCATTTATTATTGAATGGATGATACTTTAACAAA